TTATTATTTTTCTTTCTGTTAATACATGTGTACTATTTGTGAGCATGTAAAGCAAATATCTTTCAAAGAAATTCCGTGTGGAGCATATGCCCCGGATCTACGTAATGTTCTCACCTTTCCCCCTTACCTGTTTACATCACTCACACACTCTCTCTCTCTCACACACACACACACACACACACTCTCTCTCTCTCTCTCTCTCTCTCACACACACACACACACTCACACACTCTCTCTCTCTCTCTCACACACACACACACACTCACACACTCTCTCTCTCTCTCTCACACACACACACACACTCACACACTCTCTCTCTCTCTCTCACACACACACACACACTCACACACTCTCTCTCTCTCTCTCACACACACACACACACTCACACACTCTCTCTCTCTCTCTCACACACACACACACACTCACACACTCTCTCTCTCTCTCTCACACACACACACACACTCACACACTCTCTCTCTCTCTCTCACACACACACACACACTCACACACTCTCTCTCTCTCTCTCACACACACACACACACACACAAACTCACACACACTCTCCTCACCGTTCCTCAGGCTCTGGAAGTTTCTCATAGTGTTTGCTGCTGACGTACACGTGACAGGTGGAGCAGGCCAGAGACGCTTCACAGGCGCCTGAGAACAGAGACGAGCTGATGAAGACGAGCCTCAAACACACAGAGATGAAGAGGCGCTGGACTCACCCTCCAGTTCAATGCCGTGCTTGTGCGCCAGGTGAAGAGCGTTATCTCCGACCCTCGCCTCGACGGGAATCCTCTGTCCGGAGCGGTCGATGAACACCACATTAACCCTGGAGTAAAGCAAATCTGTCTGGCTTTGGCCTTTCATGCTTATATCCATCTACACCTCATTTCCATATTTTTACTTTTCAAATGGTATATAATTAATAAATGAATAGATTAAAAGATAGGCTAAACTTAAGCTAACACTGAACAATTTACATATTTTAGACAAAATTGTCAATAACGTTTTTTTTTCTCCAAAACACTTCCACAGTGGTGTTTCGTTTCTGAATGATTCAGCAATTCTTAAAGGGATGGTTCACCCAAAAATGAAAATTCTGTCATTAATTACTCGCCATCATGTCGTTCCAAAGCCGTAAGACCTTCGTTCATCTTCAGAACACAAATGAAGATATTTCTGATGAACTCCGAGAGCTTTTCCCTGGGTGTCAGATGCTGCTGATGTAAACACGCATGCGTCTAATACCCTCCATAACGAAAGACGACGGTAACTCAGGGGAGAACAGTTGTTGAATAAAGTGGTTATTTTCTCGTAGCTTCGTAACATTAGGGTTGAACATGGATTATTTGAACATGTCCGTGCTGTGTTTCTGAGGCTTGATCGTGTCGGGACCCTTGCTGTCTGTGCAGGGTTCATCAGCTCATCAGAAATATCTTCATCTGTGTTCTGAAGATGAACGAAGAGAACGACGTGCGGGCGAGTAATTAATGACAGAGTTTATATTTTTGGGGGAACTGATTCAGAGACACATTGATAAAGAGTCACTAGCTTTGTTCCTGAATGAATCGGCTGAATTAATGAATTAATCAACCACTCACTTATTAAGACAGTGGACGTGTCAGTTTAACATTTTAAGTATAATTCCATAATACACATATAATTGGAGCATTTGATATTTCTATATTTAATACATTTTCTATTTAAAACTACTCGCCATCATGTCGTTCCAAAGCCGTAAGACCTTCGTTCATCTTCAGAACACAAATGAAGATATTTCTGATGAACTCCGAGAGCTTTTCCCTGGGTGTCAGATGCTGCTGATGTAAACACGCATGCGTCTAATACCCTCCATAACGAAAGACGACGGTAACTCAGGGGAGAACAGTTGTTGAATAAAGTGGTTATTTTCTCGTAGCTTCGTAACATTAGGGTTGAACATGGATTATTTGAACATGTCCGTGCTGTGTTTCTGAGGCTTGATCGTGTCGGGACCCTTGCTGTCTGTGCAGGGTTCATCAGCTCATCAGAAATATCTTCATCTGTGTTCTGAAGATGAACGAAGAGAACGACGTGCGGGCGAGTAATTAATGACAGAGTTTATATTTTTGGGGGAACTGATTCAGAGACACATTGATAAAGAGTCACTAGCTTTGTTCCTGAATGAATCGGCTGAATTAATGAATTAATCAACCACTCACTTATTAAGACAGTGGACGTGTCAGTTTAACATTTTAAGTATAATTCCATAATACACATATAATTGGAGCATTTGATATTTCTATATTTAATACATTTTCTATTTAAAACAATAATGATATAGCATTATTTATGCATAAACAGTCTGTATGAAAATGCCGCTTCAGATGCAGCTTCTGTGCAGAAATCATTTTGTCTGATTTCATTAGATTGGTGTCAGTCATATAATGTTTTATTATTCTAATTGCATTAATGAATACATTTTAAGTTTAAATTAAGGGGGACACATACCTTTAAGAAAGTTAGAAAGTTGCCATTATAAAGGTAAAAATCGCCCCAGTAAATGGATTGAAATATCAGCCCTTAATGAAAGAGTTTGTGTTATTTCTCAGGTTTTATTCTGGTTTCTAGAGCTGCTAAACTCACACTCGCTCGTCCTCCTCCGGTGAGCTGCTGTCTGCACTCTGACACACACCTGACAGACACAGACACAAACACAGCACCACAGTTACACACACTCCTGCTACTGGACCCTATAGCCCTCAGAGAGAGAGAGAGTGAGTGTGTGTGTGTGTGTGAGAGAGAGAGTGAGTGTGTGAGAGAGAAAGTGAGTGTGTGAGTGTGTGTGAGAGAGAGTGAGTGAGTGAGTG